GATAACAAGGAGGTGAGAGCTCAGGGCACCTGGGTGAATGATGGGACCAACAGTTTCTGTATTCGATAAGGATGAAAGAAGAAACGGAGGAATGGCTGAGCAAGACATTGGATGAATTGGAACTTATGACAAGTCACAAGGTATTTTTCCACACCACGAGCTGCTGGACAATTTACCCATTGATAACAGCTGACCACTATTAATCTCACCATCATTCCAATAAAACCACTACACTAATAGCCGAGAGAGTGAATATAGAGTTCAGAGAATTCAGAGGCAGGGAATTCGGTGCAGAGGGGAAAGAGGTGCATTTTGCTTTTTTTTTGGTTGACAGTTTGTAAAGCTTTTTTCACAGGATAAATTGATGCCTAGTGGCTAGCACTGCTGCCTCTCAGCGCCAGTGACCTGGGTTCCACTCCAGCTTTGAGTGACTGTGTGGAGTTCACATGTTCTCCCTGTGTCTGTGTGTGTTTCTGCTGGGTGCTCCGGTTTCCTCCCACAGTCCAAAGATGTGCAGGTTAGGTAGATTTGCCATAGGAAATTGTCCTGTAGTGTCCATGCAAGGGTATGGGGATAGGGTGGGGGGTGGAGGGGTGAGACTGGAAGGGTGCTCTCTGGAGGGTCAGTGCGGACTCAATGGGCCAAATGGCCTCTTTCTGTAAGGATTGTATGATTTTATCAGGGCTCCAGCGCAAAAGAAACAGTGACCTCACAGGAAAACAGCAATTGACTGGTATATCTACTATTTTGACAATGGTAGGTTACTTTCAGATTGAAGGTCAGAAGGAAATATTTACAGGTTACAAACTAAAAGACCAGTAAGAATTTTTTTTAAAAATCAAATTAAGAATTAAGTAAGCAAAATAGAGCTGCAGGGCCAGGTGATGTGTTGTGCCTGCATGACGTGGGAGCTGGTGTACCACATTTGTGGTTTGTAATGGCCACATCTGTAGCAATTGTTAGTTCCTTAAGGAATGCCAGCTCAGAGTTAACACAGTGTGGAGCTGGAGGAACACAGCGTGGAGCTGGAGGAACACAGCAGGCCAGGCAGCATCAGAGCAGCAGGAAAGCTGACTTTTCGGGTCAGGACTCTTCTTCAGAAAAGGGTCTGAAGAAGGGTCCCGACCCGAAACATCAGCTTGCCTGCTGTGTTCCTCTGGCTCCATACTGTGTTATCTCTGACTCCAGCATTGGCAGTTCTTACTCTCTCTGAGCCAGCTCAGAGTTGATGAGCTAGAGTTTGAGCTTCAAACAGAGTGACACATCAGGGAGGGGGAGAGTTACTTAGACACTGTTTTAGGACACAGTCATACTCCTTAGATTAACCACCTCAAACTTGGTCAGTGGTCATGGACAGGATGGTATGGTAAGCAGATGGAGGAGTCCAGGAGGTAGTGCCGAAAGAGACTCAGCCCTTGAGTTTGTCTAGCAGGTTTGAGATTCTTGCTGCCTGTGTGGTTGAGAGTGTAGGCTGTAGGGAGGATGAGCAAACTGACTATAGCACCACGGTACAGAGATACATGTTCAAAACCCTATTCTGAAGAAAGGTCACTGGACCCAAAACAATAGCTCTGCTTTTTCTCCACAGATGCTGCCAGACCTCCTGAGATGTTCCAACAATTTCAGTGTTTGACTCTGATTTCCAATATCCGCGGTTCTTCGGCTATTTTTTTGGAAATAGATATGTTCTTGATTAGCAAAGGGATCAAAGGTTACAGGGGGAAGGCAGGAGAATTGGTTTGAGAAATATTTCAGCCATGATCGAATGATGGAGGAGATTCAATGGGCCAAATGGCCTATTTCTGCTCCTACATCTTATGGTGTTATTGTTGGGGCAGCCCCAGATGGCACAATATGGCCACCCGTTGGCGTAAATATGGTTGCAGTATAGAATTAGCTTACCTGATCCAGCATTAAAGTGAGGTCATACTTTAGCACAATGGTAACTCAAGATAACAGCATCCATTTTGAACAAAGCACCTTACAAATTAATATTTGGGGAGTTCTGTACAAATAACAGCTGCAAATGTCTGTAAGAGACAGTTTGAGAGATATGTCTAAGAACAGCCAGCCTGAAGTTTGTAGCAAAAGAAATGTAGGATCCCACAACAGTAGAGACAAATAATAACGGCAGGATTATGCCTTATAAAAACCTAGTAGATCAGACAAGTTCATTGAGCTGTGGAAGTAATTGAATTTTAGTCTTATTAATGAAAAATATGTTGTCTTATTAGGTAAAAGAGTTAGTCAGAGTAGGGGCAATAAATTTCATCTCAGAAGACAGTATGTAACTAGAATGAGTTATAATGCAGCTGCAAGATGGAGGAGCACTGTTCACCTGACCCTCCAAGGTCAGGTGGGACAGAAACTGCTCACAACTCATTAGCTAAAGAATGCAAACGGTAAATGTAATCATAAATCTTTACATATAACTAACTTTATATTAGAACTAATATTATGGATCTTTAGGAATTAATAAGAACTAATCTCCTTTTGCATCTCGAGATTAGGACAGTGGGAAATATAAGGTGGGTAACAGACTTTGATAGGGATAGCAATGAATACAACAAATAGCAGAATTTGAGCTGCCCTTAGGGATAAGCAAGTCTGGGAAATGCCTGAAAAACAGAGTATAATCATTAACTTTGGAATGTGAATTAATGGAATATACTGTAAGATCCCAAGGCCTGATGATTATAATGCCTGGTAAGCATCATGAGGTCACGGGGATCCTAGGGCTGTCCACTGGAGTTTCCATCATTGATCAGGTATTTACAGGATTGGGCGTATAGATTATGGGGGAGGGACCAATGACAATTTTGCATGTAATTATTGTAGCCCAAAATGTATAAAAGTGCTGTATCTCACTGGGGAAATCAGAGTGTCATTGACCTCTGATCTGAGCTGGTTTTAAGAGGGTGACTGGGCTCCACGTGAAAGCCAGATTAAGAGCAGCCTCTGACCTCTCCCACTCATGTGGTAAGCTCGAATCAAGATCGATTATACTTCTGAACACAGAACTCAAGCTGCTCTTTGACATCTCTCCCCAACAGTCACACTTCAGCTTTTAGCGGTTGGCTTCTATTCAATTTTGGCTCCAATTCTGATGTAGGCAAACTTGCAGATTTAAATTGGTGCGTACAAGCATCAAACATCAGCACTCAAATGTGTATATGAATCCTATAATCTTCCGAGACCAGAGCTATTTTGTTTTATTCATTCACGGGAAGAAGCATTGCTGGCTAGCTCAGCATTTACTGCCCATCTGTTAATGTTCTAGGGTAGGTGGTAGTGAGCTGCCTTCTTGAAATGCTGCAGTCCTTGGTGTGTAGCAATGTCTAAAGTGCTGTTAGGTAGGAGTGCTGGCTGATCTGTGCAATTTCATCCCTTTGTTCAGATTTTGTACTGGTTTGATACAACCAAGTGGCTTACTTGGTCATTTCAGAAGGCATGAAAGAGTCAAACACATTGCTGTAGATGTGGAGTACATGTAGACCAGACCAGGTGAAGACAACAGATTTTCCTCCCTACAGGGCATTTGTGAAATAGATTTTTATGACAATCAACAATGGCGCACAGTTGCCATTAAACTGGCTTTTAGCTGCAGATTTTTTTAAAAATGGAATTCACATTTTTTCTATCTGCAATGGCGGAATTTGAACTCTTGTATCTATTACTTTAACCTGTGACTGTAGATTATTCGTCCACTTATATACATTACCACTGCAGCCTTCCCTCTGTATCTAATCAACAAAAAAATCATTAGTAGTTCTACACACATTATCTAACCAATTAGTTGTTGAATATAGGAAATTATTATTAGATTGTGGGAATGATTTGCCTGCTCACTCTTTTGGTGTAAACAGCTTTGCAACTCAAAGAAATTGAAGAAAGATAGAAAATATTGTAGGTCACCAATGTACCAAGTGTGGAAGAACTGTCACCAACACATATCTACACTAAAGGTGAATTACAGTAAAGTCGCGATTAACACACATACTTTGTCTTTGAGGTCGTTTAGGCCAATATTATTGCAGACTGTTGCCAATTCCTCCTTGTTGAGGTAGCCATTCTTCCCTACTCCCAGCTCATCCCAGATGGCTTGAACGTGGTTTTCTGTAGCTCCAGGGTAAGGAGTGGAGGACCTCCTGGGACTGTCAAAGCCACCAGGATTCCATCTGCTCAACTGACCTAATAGGGAATTTCAAACATAAACTTCATTTATCTATGTTTACAATTTTGACAGATAACTTCAGAGAAAGAACATTTTGCCTGTTTAACTGGGACATGCCAATCTAAGCCATAACAGCACAGTCATTGTGACTCTGAATGCGCCATCCAATTAGTCTCCTGCTTTCTCTCTTGCCACTGTCCAGTTTATGTTCCTTTTTCAAGTATTGTATGTGTCTAATGTTTGTTAGAAAGTTACCAATAAATCTGCTTTGCCCCCTTTTTTGGCAGTCTATTACAGAATGTAATAGCCCGTGCATAAAATTAACATCTTCCTTCTAGCCCTTTTTGCCATTTATAACACTTTAAACCAGTGACTACAATTTATCAAACCAGCTGCCAGTAGAAACAGTGTTTTTCCCGAAGTTCCTCCAACCGCTAGTTCTGTTAAACTTGGACTTAAGGTTTTGAGTTAGTAACTTGTGGGTCTTTCTGTCCATCTGAAGATAATACTTATCTTTAAGTATTTCTACAACTGTGGCAACTTCTTTTAAGAACAAAAGAGAATTTTATTTTAGATATTAACAATTTAGTTCAATTGAATTGCTTAATCAGTATAAAGAGTGTAGGGGCATTCTTAAGAATGAAATCAGGAAGGCAATAAGGGGATATGAGATAGCATTGTCAGATAAGGTTAAAGATAATCCAAAGACATTTGACAAATGCATTAAAAACAAAGGGTAACTAGAGAGAGGGTAGGGACTCTTAAAGATCAAGGAGGCTATCTTTGTGTTGAACTCCATGAGATGGGAGAGATTCTAAATGAATACTTCCCATCAGATTTTACTGTGGAGAAAGAAATGGAGTCTAGAGAATGCAGAGAAATAAATTTTGATGTTTTCACATTACAGAAGAGGAAGTTTGTGAGGTCTTAGAGAATATAAAAGGTGGTTAAATCTCCGGGCCCTGATCTAATGTATCACAGAAAGTTGTGGGAAGTAAGGAAGGAAATTGCGAGGTCCCTTGCAGAAATAATTGCATCATCTATAACTACAGGGAAGGTGCCTGATGACTGGAGGGTGGCTAATGTTGTAACTTTGTTTGACAAAGGTTGTAAAGAGAAACCAGGGAACTATAAACCTGTGAATCTGACTTCAGTTGTGAGTAAATTGTTGGAGGGGATTACAAAAGACAGGATTTATGGACATTTAGAGAGGCAAAAATTGATTAGAGATAGACAGCATGGTTCTGTGTGAGGAAAACTGTGTTACAAACTTGATTGAGTTTTTTGAGTAAGTTACCAAAAAGATTGATGATGGCAAAGCAGTAAACGTTGTTTACTTGGATTTTAGTAAAGCCTTTAACAAGGTTCTGCCTGGTAGACTAATTAGTAAAATTAGGTCACATGGGATTCAGGGTGAGCTTGCCAATTGGATACATAATGGCTTAATGGCAGGAGACAGAGAGCAATCGTGGAGGGTTGCTTTTCAGACCGGAGGCCTGTCACTAGCATTGTTCCACAGGGATCGGTTTTGGGTCCTCCTTTGTTTGTCATTTATATAAATGATTTGGATGAGAATATACAAGGCATGGTTAGTAAGTTTGCAGACAACACCAAAATTGGTGGCATAGTAGACAGTGAAGAAGGTTTTCTAAGATTACAAAGGGATCTTGATCAAAAGGGTTACTGGGGTGAAAAACGGCAAATGGAGTTCATAAATAGATAAATGTGAGGTACTGCATTTTGGTACAACAAACAAGGGTAGGGTTTACTCATGTAATGGTACGGCCTTGGGTAGTATTGTAGAACAGAGGATCTGGGAGTGCAGGTACATTATTCTTTGAAGTTTCCATCACATACAGACAGAGTAGTTAAAAAGGCATTTGGCATGCTTGTCTCAATTGTTCAGTCCTTTGAGTATAGGAGTTGGGAAGTCATGTCGAGGTTGTAAGACATTGGTGAGGTCTCTTTTGGAATACTGCGTCCAGTTCTGGTCATCCGGTTATAAGAAGGATAACATCAACCTCGAGAGGATTCAGAAGAGATTTACCAGGATGTTGCCATGTATGGAAGGTTTGAGTTATAAGGAAAGGCTGGATAGGCTGGGACTTCTTTTCACTGGAGCAGTGAAGGAGGTGACCTGATAGAAGTTTATAAAATAATGAAGGTATAGATAGAGCTAATGGTAGTTGTCTTTTCCCAAGGATGGGGGATTTCACGACTAGGGGGTACATTTTTAAGGTGAGAGGAGAGAGATTTAAAAAGACATGGGGGGCAATTTTTTTTATACAGAGAGGGTGGTTCATGTGTGGAATGAACTGCCTGAGGAAGTGGTGGATGACATTTGGATAAGTACATGAATAGGAAAGGTTTGGAGGGATACGGGCCAGGAGGAGGCAGGTGGGACTATTTAGTTTGGGATTATGTTCGGCTTGGACTAGTTGGACTGAAGGGTCAGTTTCTGTGTTGGGGACTCTGTAACAGCTTTTTAAAGCCTGGCTGTAGATTGCATGGATTATGTGCACGAATAGACTTTTTATTTGTTTAGATTGTTTGTGACCTAATATGGTGTAAATACCAAGGCAAAAAGGTTTGATAGAGCTCTGGAACCTGGATTCTTTTTAAATAAGCTTAAGGGAGATGCCCATAACTGAGAAATATTCAAATTTCACTTTTGACTTTGGGCAGTGTTGCTCCTCTGAAGACTTTGGGCATAGGATGGCTATGCACAGCAGTGCTCCCAAGGAGAGAATGAAAGATTTGTTGAACTAGATTACCTTGGAGTGAAAAGTTAGTGTTCATCCCAAACCTGTAGCATTAGAGTAAAAAACTGAAAAAAATACTTAGAAAGGAACCTCAGGAATGTGATAGCTTCTTCCTGGAGTTATCTGCATTTCCAGTCTAAAGCTTGAAGCCCCAAGTGATTAAAAAAATACTAAAGTGTTAGATACAGGGATTCCAGTGTGAGTATTATACAAGTGGTGTTTTTGGGAACTCACCGGAGTGTTTTGCGTATTCTACAAAAGCTGTTTCGTTTCTTTTTTCCCAAATTATAAAGAGGTGCTTTAGGATTAATGGAATTAATTAACTGCAATTAAAATCTTTGAATTTGTATAATGAATACACAGTGTGGATTATTCTACTTTCTTTTCACTTCTTTTATCATAAACTTCCACTTTGTTGTCCAGACAAGATCTACATTATTGCATGCTTATGTTACAGTGAGGGACCACCTGACAAAAACCAAAACAAGTAAAAATGGGATCCATGGAGCCAGGTTCCTGTCTGAGATCTGACATGTCTAGTAATAACATCTGCTGCCCTTGTCCTTCTCGGTGGTAGGGACAGGGAGTATGGAAGGTGCTGTTGAAGGAGGCCTGGCAAATTGTTGCAATGCATCTTTTAGATGGTTCACACAACTACCACTGTACATGGATGATGAAGGGAGTGAATGTTGAAGGTGCTGAAGGGGGTGCCAAGCAATTGGGCTGCTTTGCTTTGTATGGTATCAAGCTTCCTGAGTACTGTTGGAGCCCTACTCAAACAGGTAAGTGGGGTCTATTTCATCGCACTCCCGAGTTGTGCCTTGTAGATGATGGATATGTTTTAAATAGTCAGGAGGTGTGCTCCTTGCCACAGAATTCCTAGCCTCAGACCTGCACTTGTAGCCATGGTATTTATTTGAGTGGTCCAGTTCAGTTTCTGCTCAATAGTAACCCATAAGGTGTTGATAGCTTCTTTAGTGTCTCCATCAAACTAAAGGCCCTCCTCCCTAATACCATTCTGATAGATCCTCCCTAAACCATCACCTAGGGCTTGACATCATTCTTATGGTAGGGTGCCCAAAATTGGACATAATACTCCTGCTGAATTGTAAACAAAAAGTTCATGAAGGTCAACATAACTTTTTTTTCTACTGTACTCAATTGTGTTATTGGTACATATCACACATTATTTTATTAAACAAGAATCAAAGCAGAAAATGTCTAAAACTAAATATTTTCCATCCTTAAAAATAAAACAAAAATGTACTACTACTTGGGAAAAAAACACTATGTTCCATGTGATGATGAGGTTCACAAAAAAACCTTCCTCTAACTCTGACACTGTAAATTCTACCCTTTCAAAACAAGGGCAACAAGTCACAAGGGTCACAAAATACAAAAGAACTACTATACCCATGAGTGACAATCCCTCTTACCCACCCATCCCCATGGCAATGTGCACGTTCCAAGTGTTATTCATGATGTACAACACTGTGGGAGTCTACAATAGTACTTCATTGCAGTTTAACTTGCTTCTAAAATGTCAAAGGTGCAGCAAAGGGAACGGAGGATGCACAACAGACCATAATTGGAGTGTAGAGATCTTGGAGGGTTGCAGAACTGACAGAGGTTACAGAGGTAGGGAGGGGAGAGGTCATGGATAAATTTAAACACAAGGATGAGAAATTTAAATTAAAGACATTGCCAGTCTAGGTCAGTGAACACAGGGGTGATGAATGAGCAGGATTCGATACAAGTTAGTATGTGGGCAGCAGAGTTTTAGTTGAAATCAGGCTGGTAGAGGGGAGGCCAACCCAGATGACACTGGAAGAATCAAGTCCAGAAGAATTATTTTTCAGATTCATTCGTGGAAAGTGGGCTTTGCTGGCTAAGCCAGAATTTATTGCCTATCTCTAGTTGCTCCTGGGATGATGGTGGTGAGTTGCCTTCTTGAACCACTGCAGTTTATTTGGTTTAGGCACACTCACAATGTTATTAGAAAGAGAGTTTCAGGATTTTGACCTAGTGAATCTGAAGTGACAGCAATATATTTCCAAGTCTGTGTGATGAATGGCTTGGAGGGGAACTTGCAAGTGGTGGGGGTCCCAAGCATATGCTGCTCTTGTCCTTCCAGATGGTAGTGGTCACAAGTTTAGAAAGTGCAATCTGAGAAGCCTTGGTGAATTTCTGCAGTGCATCATGTAAATGGTACATACTGCCGTTACTGTGCATTGGTGGTGGGAGGGGGGTGGGGATGAATAGATGTTTGCGATGTTATGCCAATCAAGTGGGTTGCTTTGTCCTGGATGATGTCAAACTTCTTGAGTGTTGTTGGAGCTGCATCCATTCAGGCAAGTGGGAGTATTCCATCACACTCCTGACTTGTGCCTTATAAATGATAGACCAGCTTTTGGGAGCAAGGAAGTCAGTTATTTGCTGCAGTATTAGTAGCCTCTGATTTGCTCTTGTAGCAACAGTATTGATATGTCTGGTCCAGTTCAGTTTTTGGTCAATGATAACCCGCAAATGTTGACAGTGCAGATTTTGTCAATGGCAATGTCATTGAATGGTGAAAGGCAATGGTTAGATTCTTTCTTGTTGGCGATGGTCATTGCTTGATACTGTTTGACATGAATGTTACTTGCCATTTATCAGCCCAAACCAGGGCACTGTCCAGGTCTTGCTGCGTCTGAGCTTGGATTGTTTCCATATCTGAGGAATTGTGAATCGTGCTGAATATTTTGCAACCACCAACGAACATCTCCATTTGTGACTGAAGAAAGGTCATTGATGAATCAGGTGGAATGGTTGGGCCTAGAACACTACCCTGAATAACTTCTGCAGAGATATCCTGGAACTGAGATGACTTGACTTCCAACAAACACAACCATCTTCCTTTGTGTCAGATAGAACTCCAGCCAGTGGAGAGTTTTTGCGCCAATGCCCATTGACTCGAGCTTTTGTAGGGCTCATTGATGCAACACTCAGTCAAATGAAATCTTGGTGTCAGTAGTAGTCTGTCTCACCTAATCTCTGGAATTCAGCTTTTGTCCATATTTAGACCAAAGTTGCGATAAAAGTCAGGAGCTGAGTGGTCCTGGCAGAACCTAAACTGAGCTTCAATGAGCAGGTTATTATTAATCACGTGCTGCTTGGTAACACTGTTAATGACACGTTCCACCACTGTGATCATGATCAAGAATAGACTGATGGGCCGACAATTGGCTGGGTCAGATTTGTCCTGTTCTTTATGGACAATACATACCCGAGTAATGTATTATATCAGCTGTATTATATTCTGAAGGCACAGCAGACAGTCAGGATTAATTTGATACTCGCGTCTTTTTTTAATGTTGCAATCTGCATTGGGAGTATACAGAAAATTTGAGTAAACAAAATCCTACAAAAATTAGATGCACAAAAAGAAAACAGAATTTGAATCGACAGTACAAATATTCTTCAGAAAGCCCCAAAGGCGATCAGAACTGCTATAAATAAAATGGCTAAAAACTGCTCGATCAAGGTCACTTGCAAAACATGTCATTTGAATTTTGATCCCAACACTCACCTAGTCCCTTTCACCCTTCACCTGGATTTGGTAATCTGCACTGACTCCTGATGCTGCAACACCTAAATCCTCACCCACATGTTCTAATTCCTCCATGGTCTCACCCACTCCTCACCCCTATGGCTTCTGCCAGTCCTACAAGAATTCTGCGATCCTCAAACTCTTACAACCACCACTTCCTTCACCCCAACATTGGCAGCTATGTCTTCAGTCATCCGGTCCCCAAACCTCTCTGCCTCATGACTTTTCCCCTGAAGACACTCCTTAAAACTTAGCTGTGGCCAAGCTTTTTGTCCCTTTTCAAATATGTCATACTTTGACTTAGTTTGTCCGATCATGCTCATATGCAGAAGAGGCTGAAGGGCCTACTTCTCATTCTGAGCTGAATCAAGCCCCATGGGACATTTTACTGCATTTACATTACTAATTAAATGAAAGCTGCTGGATAGAAAAAGTAATAGTCAGATGCTAACACTGTATAAAAATATGAACACTTTACCTTGTGCTTCAAAGATTTCATGCAAAGTTTCTTTATGATGCTCAAGCTCTTCATCAGTCTTGATGCTCTGTAACAGAAAATCACCCTAATAAATTCAAGGTTACAATCAGGGAACATGAAGATAAATTTTCCACTACATGTGCTGAGGTGCCAGGACAAGTACAGCGCAAATTCTGCACTTGCGCAAAGTGTGACTAGGCAATCTTGCTGAAACTCTCAGAGTCTACATTCAAGAGCTCCTAGCTTGGTCTCAATTATACTTAATTGTGTTATTAGTACATATCCCATGTTGTTTCATTAAACAAGAACCAAAAAACTCGACATTTTCTACCCTTGAAAAAAAAACAAAAATGCATAATTCCACCGACTCAGCGTCATTCATGGGCTCCTAGGTTGACTTGAGCCTGATGTTGGGCAGGGGTTGGCTGGTTGGGCTAGGAGAAGTGGTGATAGAAAAGTACACAGTAATGAAGAAGACTGCAAACAGAAATTGCTGGAAAAGCTCAGCGGGTCTGGCAGCATCTGTGGAGAAGAAATCAGAGTCAACTTTTCAGGTCCAGTGACCCTTCCTCAGAACGTTCTGAAACCTGAAATGACAGGATTGTGCTGCACAGCGATGGATGAGCCAAATGATATTCATTGTCTAAACACACACAAACAAAGTTAGAGGAAGATGTCCAACATCAGGGAACTCTTCTCCAAACTGAAGACACAATAAGGTGCCAGCTATCACCCTGCAGTAACACAATCGCATCAGATTCAGAAGTAGAACATGGAACAATACAACACAGAAAGGCGCCCTTTGGCCCAGGATGTTGTACTGAACATGCTGCCGAATTAAACTAATCCATTCTGCCTGTCCTTGGTCCATATCCCTCCATTTCTTGCACATTCATCTCTGTTTATCTAAAAACCCCTTAAATGCCCCTATTGTATCTGCCACCACCACCCCAGGCAGTGCATTCCAGAAACCTACCGCTCTCTGTGTAAAAATCTTGCCCCTCACACCTACTTTGAACTTTTCCTCTCCCACCTTAAATGCATGCCCCCTAGTATTAGACATTTCAACTCTGGGAAAAGCAGTCTGACTGTCAACCCTATCTACACATCTCATCATTTTATAGATTTCAATCAAGTCTCCCCTCAGCCTCCACCACTCCAGAGATCGCAACCAGAGTTTTTCTAACTTCTCCTTATAGTTTATATGCTCATACCAGGCAGCATCCTGGTAAACCTCTTCTGCACTCTCTCCAAAGCCTCCACATCCTTCCTGCAACGTGGATTCAAGTCCCACGCCACAGAGCCAAGACAAAATCTTGATTGACTCTCTGCACAGTTCAGAGAGAGTGCTGCACTGTCTTTTATATGAGATGCTAAATTATTGCTCCATCTGCCCTCTCAGGTAGCTGTAAAAGATCGCAGAATACCATTTTGAAGAGGGGCAAGAAAGAGTTCTGCCTAACTAACATTTCTTCCTCAACCAATATCCCTGAGAATTATCACTGTGCTTCCCACATTACAATGTCAAAATATACTTCATTGCCACAAAGTTCTTTGGGATATCCCGAGGAGGTGAAAGACATGACACAATTGGAAATGAAGGCAAAATGGTCCAGTTTCAGGATGAGTAATCCAGTATTCCAGAGTAATGCTGCAGAGACACAAATTCAAAACTCACCTTGCACCTGGAATGTAAAAAAATCGATGCTTTGGAATAAAGGCTAATCACAGAATGCTACAGAAACTCTGCAGGGCTTGCACTGAGGATAAAGAAACAGAGTTAACATTTTGAGTCCAGCATGACTCTTCTTCGTTGTTCACTCTGGAACAATGATCTCAATCTATCAGATTGAGACGTCATAAATCCTTCCTCACCTCCCAGCCCAAAATGAAAAGATTGTGTGGCCCCATCACCATGTTAAATCATAGAATCCCTACAGTGTGGAAACAAGCACTACGGCCCAACAAGCCCACACTGACCCTCACAGAATGGCATAGATTCAGATCTAACAATTCAAAACTGGGCATCCATGAGCCACTGTGGGTCATCAACAGCACGTGAATCCTTTTCGACAGGATTCAACAACACCCCTGACAATTTGAAATCACATGACCTCATGTATCGCCCACTCTACCACAATCATCAAGCTAAGGGATTATCTCTGATTCAATGCGGAGTAAGGAGTATGTCAAAAGCAGCCTGAGCCTACCTAAAAAAAAACAAAACACAACAAAATTACAAGGCAGAGCTATAAACATACTGAACAGCTGAAGTAGAATGCTATGGACAGTACAAAGCAAACTTGTCATCAACATATCAGGTCAAAGGTCTGTAGTCCTGCCACAACCAATTGTGAATTATAGTTGACAAGTTAACAACTAAGCCAAGACTGCTCCAAAAAGATCCCACTTGATTGATGGGGGAGTCCAGCATGTCAATGTAAAGGATAAGGCTGAAGCATTTGCACTCATTTTCAGACAGAAGTGTACAGTAGATAATCCAACTCAGCCTTACCCTGAAGACCCAAGCACCAAGTATTTAGCCCACTCAATTTATTCTATGTGACATCATAGAAATGGTTGAATGCACTAGATATTACAAAGGTGATGGGCCCTGACAACATCCTATCTGCAGCGAAGAGGACATGGGCTGCAGAACTAGCTATGTCCTCAGCAAAGTTATTCCAATACATCTACAACACTGGCATCCATCCAGCGATGCGGAAAATTGCCCAGCTACCATGTGTCTGCAAAAACCCAACCAATTACCACTATATCAGCCTACTCTTAATCATCACCAAAGTGATAGAAAGTATTATCAACAATGCTTGCAACCAACATTTTGTGGTGGTGTGTCACAGTTTACTCAAGGAGTTCAAATTGCTAAGATTCTTATTTTGGCATTAACTCAATAATAATTTTCTCTGGTTCATTCCTCAGGGCAATATCTTGATTAATTAGACTTTATCTCCAGGTTTAAACTTAAACAAACTTTGGCAGTTAACTATCGGTCATAGAGTCATAAAACACAGAAACAGACCCTTCAGTCCAACCAGTCCATGTCGACCATAATCCCAAACTAAACTAGTCCCATGTGCCGGAGTTTGGTCCATTTCCCTCCAAACCTTTCCTATTCACATACTTATCCAAATGTCTTTTAAACGTTGTAACTGTACCCACATCCAGCACTTCCTCTGGAAGTTCATTCCACAAACTACTCTCTGTATAAAAAAGTTACCCCTCATGTCCTTTTTAAATCTTTCTCCTCTCACCTTAAAAATATGCCCCAAAGATTTGAAATCCCCTGCCCCAGGGAAAAGACGCCTGCTATTCACTGTATCTATATGCCGCATGTTTCTAAAACCGTCTAAAAAGGTCACCCCTCAACCTGCTACACTCCAGTGAAAACAGTCTTAGCCTATCCAGACTCTAGCTATGAAGAGAGGTTGAGTAGATTAGGGTTATTTACATTAGAAAGACGGAGGTTGAGGGGGGAACCTGATTGAGGTCTACAAAATCATGAGAGGTATAGACAGGGTGGATAGCAAGAAGCTTTTTCCCCGAGTGGGGGACTCAATTACTAGGGGTCACGATTTCAAGGTGAGAGGGGAAAAGGTTAAGGGAGATATGTGTGGAAAGTTCTTTACGCAGAGGGTCGTGGGTGCCTGGAACGCGTTGCCAGCGGAGGTGGTAGAGGCAGGCACAATAGCGTTATTTAAGATGTATCTAGACAGATACATGAATGGGCAGGGAACAGAGGGATACAGATCCTTGGAAAGTAGGCGAAAGGTTTAGATAGAGGATCTGGATCGGCGCAGGCTTGGAGGGCTGAAGGGCCTGTTCCTGTGCTGTAATTTTCTTTGTTCTTTGTTCCTTGTTCTCCCCATAACTCAAACCTTCCATTCCTGGCAACATTCTGGTAAACCTTTTCTGAACCCTCTCCAGCTTAATAATGTCCTTCCAAAACAGGGCAACCAGAACTGGACACAGTACTCCAGAACAGGCCTCACCAATGTCCTGTACAACCTCAGCACGACTTCCCAACGTCATCTAACTAAACAGCTCCTCTAGACTCCACTTGCCAACCAATCAGTTCTCTCTCCTCATATGGTACAAAATTCGTTCCTTTTACATTGGAATTCTTGCAAACATCCTGATAATTGCAGGATTAAAAGCATCAACAAATTGTGTCTTTTTTCAGCAACAGTCAAATAATCTCACTAATGCTTGGTTGGGGTTTCATTCTGGAACTTGTCTTTAGATCTCACAACAGCCTTCGCTCAAACATGAACAGAAGCACTAAATTCCAGACGTGAGATGAGCGTGACAGTTAGGCCTTAAAAACTGAAGGCAATGGAAATCAGTGGAATATTTCACTGGTTGGAGTCGAACTGAACCCAAGGCAAAACGACTATGGTTGTTTGAAGCCAGTCAACTCCAGATCATTATGCAGGAGTTCCCCATGATAATATCCTAGGCTCAATCACGTTCGGCTTCATCAATTATCTTCCCTCCATCAAAAACTCAGAAGTCGGGATGTTTGCTAATAATTGTAGAGTGTTCAGTGAACCTTCGCAAATTCTGAGAATCCAAAATGCTTCACACCTACATGCAGCAAGACCCAAATGACTTCCAGGCTCAGGCTATTAAGTGATGAATGACTTTTGTAAGTCCACAAGACAAAGGTACAAAAGTAGGCCTTTCAGCTATCGAGTCTGTTCTGCCATTCAGTGTGATCAGGACTAATCTACTCATCCTCAAATCCACTTTCTGGTCTTATCCCTAATATCCTTGCTTTCTTTAATGATTAGAAATCTGTCTCTCACAGCCTTGTGATCGTCTCCTTAACTATCCTGCCTCGACACTGCGGCACTCCCTCAGCGCCGACCCTCCGACACTGCAGCACTCCCTCAGCGCTGACCCTCCGACAGTGCGGCACTCCCTCAGCGCCGACCCTCCGACACCACCTCAGCGCTGATCCTTTGACATTGCTGCACTCCCTCAGCACTGACCATCCAACAGTGTGGCACTCCCTCAGCGCCGACTCTCCAACACTCCCTCAGCACTGACCATCCGACAGTGCGGCACTCCCTCAGCACTGACCCTCTGACAGTGCAGTGTAGTACTGACCTTCCCTCTATCATAAGGTCAGAAGTGGAGATGTTTGCCAATGATTGCACGTTGTCCAGCACCAGTCACCAGTCCCCACTTGCCTGGATAAATGCAGTTCCCACAATACTCCAGCAACTTGACATCATCCAGGACAAAGCAGCCCACTTGTTTGGCACCAACAATGTTCAGTAGCAGCAGGGTGTACTATCTACAAGATGCACTGCAGAAAGTCACCAAAGATCCCTAGTCAGCACCTTCCAAACCACGACTACTTCCATTTAGAAGGACAAGGGCAGCAGATACATGAAAACACCAACCACTGTAAGTTCCCCATCAAGCCAAGGATGGAAATGATTTGCCCTTCCCTCAGTGTTGCTGGGTTAAATCCTGAAACTTCTTCAACAAAAAAATAAAAGTAAGGATCAACTGAACTTCACTTGTCCGCAAAAGTCTTGGAAAGTATTCACAGCACAAAACCAGGCTGTTTGGTCCATCTGCTGTTTTCCTTTTCCTGCTCCACATGAGCCTCCTCACACTCTCTCTACATTTCAACTCCATCAGTGTATCATTCAATCATTTCTTCCTTGTGTGTTTATCCCTTGACAACTCCATATCAGAATATACTCAACATTTGTACCACTCTCTGGGTGACGGGTTTTCTCTTGAATTTCCGATTGGATTTGTCAGTGACAGTGACAGTCTTATGTTGATAACCTCTTGGGCTCCGGACCCTGCAACAAGGTATGTGGAGATCAGAACTGTGCACAGTGTTCCAAGTGTGGTCTAACTGAGAGATATGGAGATCAGAATTGTGCACAGCGCAAATGTGAGAGGGTGCAGAAAAGATTTACAAGGATGTTGCCAGGACTGGAAGATTTGAGTTATAAGGAGAGGGCTGGGGCTTTTTTCTCTGGAGCTTCGGAGGTTGAGGGTGACCTTATAGGTGTTTATAAAATCATGAGGGGCACGGATAAGGTGAACAGCCAAGGTCTTTTACCTAGGGTGGGGGAGTCCAAAACTAGACAGCATAGGTTTAAGGTGAGAGGGGTAAGATTTAAAAAGAACCTGAGGGTGGTGCATTTTATGGAATAAGCTGTCAGAGGAAGTGGTGGAGGCTGGTACAATGACAATATTTAAAAGGTACCTAGATAGGTACATGAATAGGAAATGGCTAGCAAGACACGGGCCAAATGCTGGCAAATGGGACTAGGTGATATTGGGATATCTGGTGGGGGCGAACGAGTTGGATTGAAGGGCCCATTTCCTTGCCATATGACTTGATCATCACTCTTGAGTTCTCTTTCTTTTTTTACCCGGTATCCTTTTCTCTGGTGATTGTAATTTTTTAACTTCCTCTCTTTCAATTGCTTGATTTACAATTGTATCTGGGACTGTAGTTGTGTCCTCCCCAGGGAATACAGACATAAGCATATCTGTACAATTCATCCTCCATTTCCTTATTTTCTCATTACTAATAAACCAGACTCATTCACTGGAGAGATCTGAACACTGTAGGAACAAGGATGAGAACTTAAAATTTGAGTATCAAACCAGTGTATTTCAGTGAGTACACAAATGATGCGTGGTCAGGATTTGATGTGGGTTGGGGTACAGGCATTTCTGGAAAGGGAAGATGGAAGGTTGACAAGGATTTGAACAGCACAGTAAAATGGACAAACCTCTATGCTCTCAAGAGATGCTGAATGTCTCAAAGTATTTCTGCTGGTGCTTTGTGTGAACAGTTCATCCTTTGTTGTCCTAAAGCAAAGTGAATCCTCCAAATCGTCTGTCGTTTCCACTTTGGAATTCAAAAATTCGGGTATAGATCGGCGGCCATATCGTTTGGCTCCCCTGACGTACTTTGGCTCAACCTGCTCTGGGGTAGCTGAAATCAATAAACATACAAACTCAGGCACACAGAAACCTTTGTTGAAATCTCCCCTGCCCCATAACAATGTCTTCGCAGAAGAAGTTTACTTATTTGAGAAGAGGCAAGGTGTTGAATTTAAAACTCAAAGGAGTTATGTTACTCTTTAATCACCTAATCAAACTAACGTACAAGAAAATAAAACTGGACCATTAAACAAAGCAAAGCAATCTACTACAACATTTCCATTTCTCACTCTAAACAAATCTTTAGAATTGGATAATAAAATGGGTCAACAAACCATGTTAATTACTTATACATTCTCTGACCCCTAAAAACCAGCTGGGAGCTGACCAATACACTAACTGCCAGTCTGGTGATTAGAGCCTTCATTACTCCTCAATTTCTATGTGACCACAATGGACCCTTAGAGACTTCTTTGCAAACAATGACAGACAGGAAGATTCCATTTGGTTGATCCAGTTTCTGCAGGGCTTAAATTTTGGGGGCTACTCCTCTGACAAGTAATGGTCTTGAGGAAGGCTAATTTTGACGGAAAGATTGTTTGTAACAAGTCTCTGTTTGAGAGACAAATGCCCAAATTAGAGCTTGAAAGTATAAAACTAACAGGGAAATATAAACTTTCGTCCTCATTCTCAAGAATGTATGTGAAAACTTGTTGCAAGTGGCAATTCACATCATTCTGTGGGTGGCAAGAGTTCTATGTACAAAGCCACAGCTGACAAAGACAAACATGCAAAATTAGACACTAATTGCAACCCAGCCAGGAGCTCTGAAGCCAGATACAGCGCATTACAAGCAGAGATCGCATATTGAATAAAGACTGCAAGACTAAAGTTTACATCTTCTGCTCTGCATGAGTCTGTTCCACCATGCAGTATCTTTATCCACTAAGTTATCAGAAGAACAGTAAATAGGCTTTAAAATAATTTTATTAATTAAAGCTGATTGGTGGCCTTAAACTATAGCCAAATTCCATTTTAATAGGTTTGTGTATTCTACTTCAAAATGATGCTATAAATATTCAGAACTGACCAGAGACATCACAGGAAATATAAAATGTGTCAGAGTCAATCGTGTCTTAAAATGACTAAACAGACCAAAATTCAGACACAACATAGCAGCAGGATTGGCTGAACTGTGCTGGTGTTTAAAGCTAACAAAAACGGGGTATTAGTTTATTTTTTAAAATATCCTGCGTTAATAGCTTACAATTGAACATTTCATACAACAGTCTTATTTTCATAACAGTTACTGATTGGTAATAACTGCGTGTGTATTCACAGTTTTAAACTGGAACATGACAAAGGAACTCCCAACAACAGACAACAATTTTTGCAAATAATTACGGTGAATGTAGAAAATGCTTTAACTACATTCATCACCTGCCTTCAACAATGCATTTACTTCCCTCAGCTTCCATTTATTTTATAGTAAATTAAACAACTATCACAACCCTGCAAACCACCCCACTCCCACCCCCATCCACTAAGGTGCTCATTGACTCCTTAAAAGACAGCATATGCATTAAACTGTCTCTGCTGTTTCCCTGGGACTAAAGGCCAATGTTTCTCCCTAACTAATCACAACACTCACCACAATAGTGTCTCTTTCCCTTGCCATACGCTTTCCACAGTCACCGTATTCATACAAACTATTCACAATTCCTTAATCTCAATCCTAAAGAACCCCATTGACTGTCAAATCCTCCCCACTTCCTGGCCCCCATGCTAGCTGACATTGGAAATTGTTTCCTTAATTTAGACACAATTCCTCTTTATTTTCAAAACCTCTCATTTTTAAAAAAAATATGGATATGCAATGCAAGTGCCATAAACATGGATCAAGAACTGGAAAGTAAGATTAGACAGGATAGCTCTTTTTTGCCCTGCACGACCACAATGGGCTAAATGGCCTCATTCTACACTAAACTTTCTACGGTTTTACCTTCCTCTTTTCAAGAAACCCACCAAACAAATTTCAAAGCCTTCATCATTGCAAACTGCCAACTTTCCTTTCCACTCCCAAGTCCCTGAACACATTATACGAGATCCCAACTCTCCCAAAAAACTAAGTGGTTCTAACTAAAGACACATTCCTGATGATACATGATCTTTCCTTGTGCTCACTACAGCCTTTTGACAATTAACTGCACCATTTACCTCCATTACCTCTTTTCAAGTATCTAACTTGGTAAAACTGCCTTCATTTGATACTGTTCTCACTTATCCAATACTTCTCTTCCATCCACCAGAAGCATCTTTGGTCCCGTTACCCTCCTTTGCCTTCCTCCTATCAGTGGTCACTGTAGTGATTATAACGAGATCAGTTAGGTGGACCTCACAGAATGAGTTTTCTGATTGTACCAGATTAACAGCCCAAATCAGGGAGCCATAGCTGACAGACAACAACAGGAGTATCAGACATCCTGTTCCGTCAGAGCTGGTTCTGAGGAAGCTGGATCAGTGTCAAAGAGTCTCCACGTGTAAATAAACGGTGACTTGGTGATGGGATACCAGCCTCTGTGGAGTTATTTCAGTGGCGACGAGAGAAAAGCATGCTTGACAAGAAACTTGTTCGCAACAGTCGTCTTTGAGTTGGGGTAAGCAATTCTAATATTCTGCTTTTATTTGGGAAGCATGACCCATTCGATCCTGCTGTCAAAGACTGGGCCCAGTACATGGAAAGAATGCATTTCTTTTTCCTAGTAGGGTAATGGGCTCAGTGGTGGTAGGGAATTGGAGAAGCGGGATCTAGAGAAGGTTGGTCTAGTCAATGGCTGTATCAGCAGTTTCAAGAATATATTAACAGTTTTTTTTTCTAGACTGAATAGTTATTAAGATTATTTCGATAAAAGTTGCAACCCCAGTATGCAACAACAATAGGCATTAAAGAAAAGAGAAGGAACAAGAAGTGTAGACAAGCACATCCTTCTACAATTAAGATCTACCAATGCCAATTTAGAACAATTAAATACTAAAAACTAAAACTGTACAAGTGGCATCTAAACAAAACCAGTAAGGATTCTTAAATTCATATGTGGAAGACCTAAGCTAATACTAGGACCAGTATTAATAAAGTTACAAAATAGTTGCTATCTTATCTTCCTATGGCATCCTCTATCCAACAACTGAAAGGTAGTACAAGCAACTAGTGAATTCCCTTGCTTTTGAAGTAAAATGTTGGCAAAATTGTAAAATGAATGCCCACAATTAATGTCTGCTAAAGCTCATTGTAGTGACTGTATCAAGGTCAGTCAGGTGGACATCGTAGAATATGAGTTCCCTGATTAGGCTGTTAATCTGGTCCAATCAGGGAGCCCTGGCTAACAGAAATAAACAGGAATGTCAGAGGCTCTGTTGACTGAGAGGAGGCTCTGAAGGAGCTGGATCAGTGCTAAGGACTCTCCACCTGTAAATAAAGGGTGACTTGGTGATAGGACACCGGCCTCTGTGGAGTTATTTCGGTGGCGACAAGAGAAAAGCACGCTCCTAAAGAAATTGCCCTCACAACAGTCGTCTTGAGTTGGAGTAAGCAATTCTGGCATCATGCCGTTATTTGGGAAGCTTGACTCATTCAATCCTGCTCTCTGAGACTGGGCCCAGTATGTGGAATAAATGCATTATTTTGTCTGGGCAAATGATATCAGGGCAGATGAAAAGCAATGAGTAATCTTCCCGACAGCTTGTGGACCTGCAGCTTTTTTGGTTATTAGGAGGCTGACTTGCTCTAAGGCACTCTTTTGATTCTAAAACCTTTGAAGCGTTGACGGATTTAGTTAAGGATTATTATGACCCCAAGCCTCCTCTTATTCTGAGATGCTATTGGTTTCACTCGGCAATTCAAGAATCAGGGGAATCTGTATGGGATTTTTGACTAGGTTGAGATGACTGGCAGAGGCATGTGACTTTGGTTCAACCACTAATGAGATTTTGAAAGACCATTTGTTAAGTGGGATTAATGATGTGACCATGCAAAAGGGCCTACGAGCTGAAGCAAACTGGACTTCAAACAGGCACTATAATTGGCTTTATTATTGGAAAATGCGGCAAGTAGAGCATAGGAGTTGCAGGGTATGCTGATGGAAGTGGTCATTCTCGCCAGGGCAACTGAGCTTGAAGAACACCACTTGAGTGAAGGCAATCGCATAGCCTCACTCAGGACATATCCTGGTTGAGAGATTCTAGGTCAGCCCACAGCAAAACCCAAAAACAAAGCGAAGCCTCGGCTAAACGGTTAAAATTGCTTCAGGATCCAGCCAGCAAGCCAGTGTAGTTGCTGCTGGTATGCAGACTCGAGACAGCAAGAAAGTCCCACTAGATCTAAGACAACAAGGTGCAGGGCTGGATGAACACAGCAGGCCAAGCAGCATCATAGGACCAGAGAGGCTGACGTTTCAGGCCTAGACCCTTCATCAGAAAAGGGGGAGGGGAAGGGGGTTCTGAAATAAATAGGGAGAGAGTGGGAGGCGGATAGAAGATGGATAGAGGAGAGGATGGGTGGAGAGGAAACAAACAGGTCAAAGAGGCGGGGATGGGGCCAGTAAAGGTGAGTGTAGGTGGGGGGTTAGGGAGGGGATAGGTCAGTCCAGGGAGGACGGACAGGTCAAGGGGGCGGGATGAGGTTAGTCGGTAGGAGATGGAGGTGCGGCTTGAGGTGGGAGGAAGGAATAGGTGGGAGGAAGAACAGGTAAGGGAGGCAGGGATGAGCTGGACTGGTTTTGGGATGCGGTAGCAGGAGGGGAGATTTTGAAGCTTGTGAAATCCACATTGATACCATTGGGCTGCAGGGTTCCCAAGTGGAATATGAGTTGCTGTTCCTGCAACCTTCGGGTGGCATCGTTGTGGCACTGCAGGAGGCCCAGGATGGACATGTCGTCTAAGGAATGGGAGGGGGAGTTGAAATGGTTCGTGACTGGGAGGTGCAGTTGTTCATTGTGCACCGAGCGTAGGTGTTCTGCAAAGCGGTCCCCGAGCCTCCGCTTGGTTTCCCCGATG